TGCTAGTTGAATCTTATGCTTATAGTTTAGCACTTTGTCTCATTTTTCTAAATACGTTATGATGTGCAAAAAATCTGGATAATGTGCTAAAAAAACCCATTTATATAATAAGAGTTAAAATACATAATTATTTGGTCATTCTTCATTATTTTGATTCACTTCTAATTAAATAAACAGGTTTTTTTACACACCATAAAATCTTTTTTTTCTTTCTTAGTTTAGTGTTTACTGCACATTTCTGAAATGTTCAAATTGTCAAAACATCTAAACAATCATGTTCAAACATCAACAACAAAAAAAGATTTGATCAGGAGTGGAGCGTGATTGTGTGCCATTCCTGTCCCAGGCTGCAAGTAGACAATTAAAAATATTGTGAAATCTCATAAGATTTAAAGTAGTAAACTATTATAGTTAAACATAATCCTTTTATTGGAACTACTCAGCTAAGTCGACTAGTGCTTCAGAATCCCATACAAAAACAAAACAAAACACAATAACAAAAATATGTACCCTAGATTCACCAAATTCACAGAAATTTAACAGGAATGTTTAGAGACATAATTTAGGAAATAAATTAAATTTTAAAAAATAAATTAAAATTTAGGAAATAAATTTTATCTTAAAATTTCTATGTAGGTTTTTACAATAATTTTTTGTTTTTTCAATCTTGACTGAAAAATAAGGGGAGAGGATAATCAAATTAGTTTACCTTTAATATAACCCTTTTGGTTATATTATTCCTTTAACTTTCATATATTTATTAATAACAATAAAGAAAAGAATATTAAGTTGAATGCTAGAACAAATTGGTATTAGTTCTAATAAACTTAGTTTAAATCACATTATTATCTACTAATCATTGTCAAAATATTTATAAAAAACAGTAAGTAGATATTTCATTTATATTAACTATATATTATTTTAAAAGATAATTGTATTTAGCAATAATATGTAAAAAAATTTTTACTTATCTTATTGATGTCAGCAATACTATGTACATATTTTATTTCTTATTTTATTGATGACATAATAGATTTTAAATACAATAAAATTAAATGTTTTTATAATAATGCCAATGGTAGAGTTGGGGTTAAATACACAGGCCTTATTTTAAAGCATTTCACAGCCTGCAATTTATATACACGTTTAGCTATTTTACATACGTCTAAAGCAATTAAGTGACTTTTTATCATTTTTTAACTTTTAAATTAGTTTATAAGCAGTAAGATAAAAGAAGTAATTAGTTTTATAAGAAACCACTTAAACTTTTGAATGGCGTTTATGGTAAAAAGTTTGAATGACAATTACATTGGATATAAAACTAAATTTTTTTTAAGTTAATTTTTTATCAAAATTTTTAGTAACGGAAAACAAGTTTGTTGATAATTGATTTTACATGTTTGAGTTCCATTTTAGTGTAATATTTGCATCTTTATAATTTCTCTTAGTCTATATCCATACACGGCTCATTATGATGCACCATAAGTCAGTAATTACATATGTAAAAATAGTTTAAATGACAAAAAAATGTCATTATAAATAAACAATTTATATTAAATACACCTGTTATATTAAATATATTGGAAAAAAAGATACTCAAAACTTTTTAGTCCCTGTGTAATAAGTTTTAAGTAATAGTAACATATAATAGATCTTGACCCGGAGATAATCCACTGCAAAAAGGTGGTAGCTCTCCTTTTAAAAAGCGTTTCACTCTCATAAAAGACACGTGAAGAAATAAATCCAAAGAATGTCAATTACCAGTAAGTTAGAAAATAATTGATTGTCCTGCCTGCCAAAATACAGCATCAGTAACAGAAAATGTTCAATGTTTCGTATGCAAATCAAGGTTTCATGTTGTTTGCCCATCTATTTCAGAGGAAGATAAAGTAGCTAACAAAATCACAGTTTCAAATTTTCTATTCCCTTCAACTAAGAAAAACTTTCTTTTTTTTTGTGATGTCTGCCTAACCAACCTTGAAATAAGTGTTATCTAAATAAGAAGCATTGAGGCTGAACTCTCTAGAATGCAATGTTACAAAAATCAAAACTGAGCTCAATGAAATAAAACTACTGTTAAAAAATGCTCAAGTGATACTAACTTGAAAAAAAGTATTTTTTGGTTCAACAAAGAAAGGTTAAATACAGTGAAAAAGCAGATGGTCATCAAACTTTAAAAGCATTCCTTCATCTCAATATAATGCGCTAGTCCTAGATATACCAAAATATCTTGAATGCATATCTAAATGGATGAGTTAATCATTCTTATGTATTAACCAATCAAAAACAAAAATATTAAATATGACACCACTTAGCATTCAAAAAGATATTATTATTATTATTATTATTAAAGGTACTTTTATTAACAAGGAGTGTATTAGATTTGTTGATTCAGCAAAAAGTTTAGGGATGCAGGGCTCTAATTAATGCAAAAAAATCTAATTGCAAAAAAAAAATTCTCCCTCCCCCTCTTTCTCACACATTACTCGAGCCGCTTTGCGGTAATGTGTTGCGTTAGTATAAAATTAAACGTAATTGTTATTTTTTGACATATCTCTCATATTTAAATATTATCTTATAATATTTTTGCTTGGCGGAGTTTAAAATAGCATAAGTTACTGTTAAAATTTACAGTTTAATTTATAATTTAATGTTTAAGTTGCAGTTACAGTGTAATAAGCCAGTAGTGTATTTAATATTATTAAGATATTACTTTTAGTAATTGGTTTTACTTAACAATATACTTTAAAAAGTAAAAGTAAAAAACAAAGAGTAAAAAGCAAACACTTCAATATTTTAACTACTTTAATTAGTCATAGAAAACTATTTAATACATTCATGCTGATGATAAAACACTTATTTTTAAAGAGTATTTAATTGTTCTTGTAAAAAGCTACATAACAACAATAAAATAAATTGTAAAGTTGCTTCAAAAATACAAATAGCTGGGGTGAAACAACTGTAAAACAATGTAAAATAACTTTGTGACCCTGTTTTGTTGCTGTTTTATATAGTTTATAACCATAATAACATAAAACGCGTTTATAGTAAGACGAAGCAAATAAATAAAATTGTTCTAATTAATAAATTAAAAAATTATTGTCATTAAACTTAATATTTACGCAAAAGCATGCTTATAGACCATATGATTCTATAATCTATAAACCAAACAAGTAAAATCAAAGAAAAAAAATTAGATACCACGTTTTTTATAATTTATTGTTTTTTGATCTAGAGATCTAATAAAGGTTTTAGTAAGTTTTTCATTCAAATGGTTTTTAAATTGATGTTTTCATTCAATTTTTTTATTCAAATTATTTTCCAATAAAAAGTGAAACAAAAAAAATTTGTTTTAATAAATCGAATTATATTTCTTTAAGTTTAAGAATATGCTTAAAAACTTTGAAGCAAAAAAGTTGCTGGTTTCTATTAGCATTGATTAATAGGTAAAGTGATTATTAGGGGGGGGGGACGAATTAATATATATTTTAATATACTTAAAGTAGTAAAATTAAGAATATAAAATTGTTGATAAAATAATAATTTAAATTATTAATAATAAGTTAATTTGGTGCAACCTTTTTGAAAAAGTAAAGATAAAAACCATGCTGTTTTGTTTAAAAAAAGAATGAAGAAAAAATTCGTTTTAACGTCTTTTCTCTTTTCAACTTTTCGCTTTAACAACCTTTTAAATATTATTGTTCCACACAAAGATTTAAAGTAATTTAAATTCAAAAGTGTTTTACATTGAATGAAAATCTCAGCGCGAAAGAGCAAATGATCATATATTCAGAAGATAAAATTTATGTACTTTATGACAAAAACATTTTTTTTTAGAATTGCCAAAAAAAAAATGTTTAACTAAAAAAAAAGTAAATTAACAACAAACAAACAAAAAAATCACGAAAATATTTTTTTTAAGAAAAAACTAATCACGAAGGTGAGAAAAGCAATCGCGATACGTTTAATTTGAGCCCTGGGGTGATACTTGGCAATGAATTATCTTTAAAAACACAAATAAATAAGATTGTTAAAAACTGCCACAATATATTGAGCAAAATATCCAAAATAAAAAAAACATTCTTATCGCACAAAGATTTGTGTACCATAGCATGTTCACTAATATTTGCATAGCTAGATTATTGCAACTCTCTCTACTTTGGAATTGAAAAGTCACTATTAAAAAAATTGCAATCTGTTCAAAATTGTGTGGCAAGATTGGTATTTAAAACTAGAATAGAAAATCATGTAAACGACCAGGAATTTAACAAATTGCATTGGCTGAAAATTAGAGAAAGAATATATTTCAAGGTCCTTTTAATAATGCACAAATCTAATATTCTGGAAGCACCATGATTTTGCAATTTAATTCAATGCGCAATGTCATAAAGAACACTAAAATTAAAATAAACAAAATGCAGCAATCGCTTTGGTAATCAAGCATTATCCCACTATGGTCCTAAACTTTGGAATATACTTCCAAATAACATCCGTGATAAAAAAAAACACAACTATTTATAAGAAAAAACTAAAATCTTATTTAATGATGAATGGTGAACTAAAATCTTATTTAATGATGAATGGTGAACTATTCCACCAGAAAACTCTTGAATGTTAAATTAAAATCTCTTGATCATTAATATTAAATTTTTTTTACTAATATAATAATTTGTTGCTCAGCTGAACAAGTGTTCAGCTGAGCAACAAATTATCCACTATTATAGCAAAATACAATAGCTGTGGGTAAGCATGTATTTATTATAACTACAGATATAACTATATATTAAAAAGCAATAAAATAATCAAAGATTTAGCATGTTTAACTTATAGAATCTTAGCTTTAACTGTTACACTGGGTTAATGTTAATAAATAGTTATATAACAAATAGCTCATGAAAAACTTTCCAAATGAAAAACTATTTATAAAGATTTACTATTATTTCATTTATTCTTTAATTTACTTGAAAGTTTTACTTTTTCAATTTCTTATTTTTTTTAAGGCTTGTATTGATGAGAATGAAGAAATGGTTAGCCTTTTAGTTGAGCGAGGTGCTAATATAGAAGCTCGTGATAATGAAGGTTGGACACCACTTCATGCAGCAGCAAGTGCAGGAAATGTTGAAATAGCAAAGTATGTTATAGATTTTATTTTAGAAGTTTAATAAACTAAATATTAAATGAAAATTAATATAGTTTAGATTTTGAAAAAAAAAATTTTTTAGGAAAAAAATTATTATGAAGATATAAAATTTTTTTGAATATTTAATTTGAAAAACAAGTTTTAAAGATTTGTATAGAATTGTGCTACACTTGGCTGTGTTTTAAATGGTTGCAGAAAAATTATATTTATTTGATATTTCAGTACTATGAAATAGGGTGACTATAGACTTGAGAGTTGAATTTTAACAGTGAGGTTTTACTAGAGTCAGATTGGCCGGGGAGATTGGGGGAATCCCCCTTCCTGGCCTCTGCTATCTCTGAAGGTCCTGGGCCTCATAAATCAAGATCCATAAATAAAACACAGACAAATACAAATTAGTAACTATTTATTATTTATATGTATCAATTTTACAAAGAGAACACCAGTTAATGAAGTAGTTATTTTGGTGGCCTAATACTCAAACTTATTTTGAAATTTCGCAAATCGTAGGTTGTGACGCTTTTGATTTTCAACCGACAATTTTTGATTTTTATATTTACACTTAATTAAAACATGTACTACTAATTTTCCAACCAACTAAACCGTTGACCTACTGTATTTTTGACCTACTGAATTTTCAACCTATTGAATATGTTATATATTATATTATATATTATAATATAATTTATAACATATAACTATACATTATAATATATTTTATTTTCAATTTTATAACTACGCCTTTCCGGTATGTATTTTGTATATTTTGTTGATTTGAATACAAGCTAAATTTGATCAGCTTTGGCACAGTGGTTGAAGCGCTGTCTTCAGAATCGGGAGGTATAAGGTTCGATATTTAAAAAAAAAAACAATGTTAAAACACAGACCAGATAATCGGTTGAAAATTAATTTATCTTAAATTGGTTGAAAATGAAAGTCTATAAAATAGGTCGAAAAATAAATCAGTCCAAAATGAAAAATTCATAAATCCATTGAAAATAAAAAAGACTATAATTGGCTGAAAACAATTTAGGTCCCAGTAGGTTATCTGAAAATTAGTTCCACTTTTTAGTAGAAGTTCTTTTTGTAGAACAACTTAGTTGGTCAAGATTTTTGTTGGTGTAAATAATTGACACGGTTATTTCTATGATTAAATTATGAATTGTTTAATAAAGTATACAAAGTCATTGTAAAACAGCCTTATGTTATTTATTAGTGATAGAGTAAATTATCTTGAGTACTAAAAAATTAATTTATTACAAAAAAAAAATTGAATTTTGTGTTTTTATAAAGTCATGCGTATATATTTTATATAAGCCTAGGGCAATTGAGAGGATAAAAATGTGCTGGTGCAAAATTAATTTTAGGCCCCCTCTTCATGACAAATATTTTGTTAAGACATTCAGAGTGTAAAAATAATTATAATAATAAGCACTGGCTGGATAAGAAGCCAGTGCTTCCGAACCAGAGAGGCTCTGAAATTTTTCATGGGGCTAGAGATTTTATTTTTTTTAAATAATATTTCTTAGTAAACATATTTCAGTTTTTTGTATTTATAAAAAATATATAGTAAAATACAATTGGAGTTCAGCTTTAAATATCATAAAGTGGATTAATCTAAAAAATTTCTCTTTTTAAGAAAAAAAGTTTTTTTTTTTTATATATACAGTTTTAAAAAGTTTATAATATAATAAAATAAAGTATATTTTTTATTATAAAACTTTAAATAAAATTTTGACTTTTAATTGAAATGTTATTTCAATATCTTTTTTATATAGCATTATGTCTTCTTATTTTTAATAATATTTTTTTTGAATTCTAAAGAACTTATTACATCGATTGAAACATGAACATTTTGTTGAAGTTTAATGAGACTTGATTATTTTATTTTATTGAGAAGAATTGAATTTTGTAAAGAAGCATAGAAAATGAAAATATTTTTAAGTTATCAATATCTAAACCAGTATTAAAAAAAAATTCTTGAAAAAAATTATAACAATTTTTCTCATTATAACTGCTATACTGATGTCATAAGGTTGATATATAATGTTGCTATAAATTTTATGTCAACTTCACTTATAATGATTAGTAATTTTGTAGAATCATAAAAAACTGGTAATTTTATGTTAAGTCATAGCATTTTATGGATAGTACTTAGTAAAATAGTTTTTAATTACTTAAAAGCAGTTTTTAATTACTTAAGCTGAACATAGTGTAAAAAATAATTTAATATTCTGCTTTTAAATTCAGAATATTGATTGAACATGGTGCTGACCTTGCAGCTGTAAATAATGAGGGAGAAGTTCCTCTCGATCTTGCAGATGAGCAAGAGATGGTGGATTTCTTAACAGATGAAATCGAAGGACAAGGTTAGTAAATGAAATAAAAAAAGTAATGGGTAAAAAAATATCCAATTTATTTACTTATTGAATTCTAGTATATTTTTTATAACAAAGTTTTATTTATAAAATAAAAAATATTTCAAATAAAAAAATGTTCTATAGTTTCCATTCATTCATAAATATGATACAATTAAGAAATAACTCGTTTGATAATTGCTTTGTTCATTACAATATAATTCATAATTATGAATTATATGTTCTATAAAAGTCTCATAAGAAAAATCAACTGAAATACAAAAATATCTATAAAAAAAATTTTGGTGTTTGATTTAAAAAATGTTTAGAAAATCTGTAGATTGAATTTCAAAAAAAAGCTAATAGTACTAAAGATAAGTAACAAATCCTTTAACAAAAGTTTAACCATTAGCTTTTATGAAGAGAATGCACCCAATCAGAGAGCTTTTACAATGAGAATGCATCCAATTGCATAGCTGTTACAATGAATGCTGTCAAAAATGACAGCATTTGTATTGATATCGTATAATATTTTAGTTTCTTTCATAAGTTTTTATATCATATAGTTCAAATAGTAATTTATGTCTTCTTTTAAATAACTTAATATTATTTTCAGATTTAACATACCATAATGGTTATTATTCATTAGACCTTCACTTAGAATTTTATTGTTTTCTACTAATCAGTTAGCTCCAGATTTCTATAAGTTTTGTTTCTTACTTTTAACTGTCATATTGGTATGCTTTGCATTTTGCATTTTATATATTTTTTTTTAAGATGAATTTCTTTGTTACAAATTCAGATATTTTTTAGAATTTTTTATTTGTTTTGTTGTTTTGTGAATAATCTAACTTTATTGGTTAAATATAAAATTTGATATAAAACATAAAAAATAAAGTTTAACAAGGGATATAAAATATTATATTAGTGTAAGTGTAACAAGGGATATAAAATATTATATTAGTGTAAGTGTAACAAGGGATATAAAATATTATATTAGTGTAAGTGTAACCCAAGTTAGTAATAGTATCAGTATTGCAACTTTTGACCATATAAAATTAATTAATACACTAAAAAAAAAGTAGAAATTTCTACCTCAGGGTATGATATGTGATATACCCTTAGTAAAGTATAGTTTTATACCTTCTGAGGTAGAAAATTATACTAAAGATAATGAATTGTCATAACATATTCGACCTTAAAAGTATAATTTTCTACCATAGAACGTAGAAAATTATACCTTACTAAGAGTGTATCACATATCCTATCTTAAGGTAAAAATTTTTACCTTTTTTTATTTGTGTAACTAAATAGTTATATTTTCTGAAAAATAATTTTAGAAAACAACTTATGAAGTAATGGTATCAGCATTCCTCTACAGAACAGAAAGTCATTTATGTAGATTGTACATTTATAAAAACTTGAATATTATTTTCAAAATCCAAGACAAATAAGCTACAAAAAATCATATTGTTCTTTAAAAATTTTTTCACCTATGTTCGCAATGTTTTACAAGTTGACAATTAATTCACATAACATGACCATGATTACCACTAGCTGGTGCATCGTACAATTAGGGAGGGAAGCAACTTTGATGGGTGATGCTAGTTAATAACATCAATCTGACATTATTTTAAACTGCTGCATCATATTGCTTATGATCCTTCTCTATACTATATAACTATAAAAATTGGTGCTGTAAAACCCATAAAGTTACATTTATCTGAAGATAAATGTAACTTTATGGGTTTTATCTTTTAGTTTTAATTTTTAAATCTTTAAAAAATAAAATAAATTGTCAAATTATGTGATTTTGTGTGTGTGTGTGTGTGTGTTTGTGTGCGTGTGTGTGTGTTTGTGTGTGTGTGTTTGTGTGTGTGTGTTTGTGTGTGTGTGTGTGTGTGTGTGTGTGTGTGTGTGTGTGTGTGTGTGTGTGTGTGTGTGTGTGTGTGTGTGTGTGTGTGTGTGTGGTAATATTAAAACTAAAAATTCTCAATTTAATAAATTGTCAAATTTACTTATGCAGACTATAAGCCACATATGTTCTAAATGGATTACTCATATCAATAAAATATATATACTTACACCATTTTATAGTTATCTTTTTGTTTAAAAAAATTGCAAGAAATAAATGCAAAAAAAAAAAAACACTTTTTAAATATATATAACAATATAACTATTTAAATTCTTAAATATTTGTTATATAAATTATATTTTGCAAATCATGAAAATCTAGACTTCCAGGTTCCCTGATTTTTTAACAAATTCTAGACTTTTAACTCTGGTCAAAAATAGGAACTCTGTATCCTGCATCTTGTTTGTGATTATGTACTGTTTTTAGACCTTGATGTTGAGGAAGCTCGAAATGAAGAAGAACGTCTTATGGTTGAACATGCCACAAGTTGGTTGAACAAAAAGAAGATAGATGAAAAATTAGATTGGCAAGGTATCATGTTTTAATTATTTTTTATGTTATATACATTTTTCTAATTTTTTTTTAATTATTGCATATAATATGAGGTTTCTTTCTTTATATTAATATAAATATTTTTGTTGTTTAGATGCAACAGCTCTACATGTTGCTGCGTCCAAAGGATATACTAAAGTTATTAAGTAATTTTTTTCAAAGTTGCTTGTATTGTGAGTTTTGTTACTTGTATACTTGAGTGGGAAGAGGTTTTCAATGAAGTCAGATTAAAAAACTACTCTCGTTACTCAATTATTTGTCTTATCATTCAAAAAACTCCATTAATCCATTGCATTTTTCTCAATTTTTAGTTCAAGTTTTGCTTTAAAATTTTCACTATTTTTCTCTCTAATAAATTATTGTCATTAATACTATTACTTATATTACTTTTTTTTTATTTTTTAAAAGCTAATACCAGAAATATTTTATACCAGAAGTATTTGCTGGTTTTATGAATAAAATACTTCTTTTTTACCCTAAATGCAATATTTCATTTTTACTCTGAATATAGTATTTTATTTGTATCCTGAATATTATATTTCATTTTTGCCCTGTCAAATTTCGAGTGTCATAATTCATTTTTACCCTGAATGTTGTATTTCATTTTCACCCTGAATGTTGTATTTCATTTTTACCCGAAATGTAATATTTCATTTTTACCCTGAATGTCATTACTTTTTTTAACACTTATTTTGTTTTTTATGATTTTGTGATTCTAAATTTTTGTTTTTGGATTATATGTAAATTAATATTTGTTTGATTTATTTTTAAAAAAAAGGTTTTCCTTCCTAGCTTTAAAATTTAATTTTTTATCATAAAAATTTGACAAAAATTTACTATACTTATAATTAGATATAATTACAGTTATTATTATTGCTAAATAAAATTCTTGAACGCAAAAGGTTTTAAGTACACTATTATTGTCACAGTTACATTTGGAAAAAAACTCTTCTACTGAAGGAATACCATGTTAGAACAATCATTTCTTCTTTTTTGTCTTTGTCCTTTCTTTTTCATCTTTATCCTTTTATTTTTATTTTCATTAATTTTTTAATCATTTTTTAATAGATTATACTGCGCAAGGCATATGAAGTAAAAAAATGTAAAAACTGGCAAAAAGATGCCATAAAGCCTTGATGTACTTACTTTTAAGACCTTGTTTTAGTATTGAAAAATAGACAGAAAAGATTAACAAAATAGAGTGTAGTTGATTAAATTATTACTTTTTAAAATTAAAACAATTGTTTTTGTATGTGAAATTTTACATGAGCTCTGAACCTGCGGGAGGGGAGAAAAAAAAAACGAATTCAGAAAAAAATGTTTACTAAATTTTTTTTTTAATAAAAATTGGGTAAAATTGAATAAAAGATGATGAAAATTTCAGTAAAATGAATAGTTTTAATTTTACATAGCCTTAATATTTATTAGAAAATTCATATAAGATTAAAAAAGTCACGCACAAAATAAAAACTGTAAAGTTTTTTAGGAGGTTATCTTATGGTGAATTAAACATTTTTAATGTTTATGGAGTCAACATTCACCTTGATGTGTTTTTTTTTTTTTTTGAAAAATTTTAGTATCACAAGCTTTCAGTAGACTTTTATTTTATTTTCTACACTCTTTTAAATAAAGAAATAGTTTGTTCTTTTGTATAATAATTTTTTACCTAAGTAATCCATTTATTATGAAAGATCCTCAGGGAGATCATTAATATAAATGAGAAAAATTAGTGGACCAATGGAATAGTATACAGAAGTTATTGGAAATGAAGAAGAATGACTTTTTTGTAAACTATTGATTTTTAAGAAAGACTTTTGGAGATGACTTTATTACTGTGATTACATTTTGAAAACTTACATATGAACCAAGAAACTACAAGAATCCAACAAGAAACAAACAAGAAAAACTAACATAAAAAAATTGAAAACTAACATGCCAAATTTTATTGAAAGCTTTTGATATGTCAAGAGCAATAGCCTTGCCTTGTGTAGCCACCTTTTAATGAATAGAATCTTTTAGTTCAGCAGTTAGCAAGTCAGCTGTAGAATGAAAAAAATTCTGTATTGATTGTCAGACCTTGTGTAGCCATTGTATTGATTGTCAGAGAGTTATACTCAAGATTAGTTATCAGAAGTTTGTTGTCGAAGACACAAAGAAATTACTTTGAAGAAGAAAAAATCAAAAACTCAAAGAAACTGCTAATAATAGAGAGAAGCATGTGAGACGATAGCTAAAGGGATCAGATTTTTTTTTTAATATTTTAGAATTATATAATTCTTAGCTCTAAAGCTTTCAAACACCTTTGGTGTTTGAAGGGTTCAGAGCTATCCCTAAAAATAATTTTATAAAATTTTATTTTATTAAAAACAAATTTAATGTTCAAAAGAAATATATATTTCTCTAAAAAGTTGTTTCAAGAGCCACCCTAGTGTACAAATATCTTTACATACTTAGCTTTACATGAAAGATTAAAGTATATGTCATACTGAAATCACCACATGTGTGGGGATTAAGTACTTGCAGTGAGTGAGGGTTTAAAAAAGTACTATCTAGATATAAAAGCTTTTATTATGGCAAAAAAACAATTTCTTTATAGTTTTCAGACAGTACCCACCTAAATCGGCAAAAATAAGAGTGTGTATGTGTGTGTATATATTTTCCCAATTAAATGATGTATGACAAATAGATGTAATTATTCCCGTTGTTCTTTTTTTATTCTAACTGTTCCAATTATCTACATATTAAAGTTTGTTGGTACCAAAGTATTTTTGATATATTCTTTGTATATGTTGTATGTTTCCTGTAAACTATAATAAGCTTTGTTTGCATTTATAGCATTATTTTGAAGATACCTGGAGCTGATGTGAACGTTAAAGATTGTGATGGCTGGACACCTTTGCATGCTGCAGTGCATTGGGGATCGAAGTCAGCTTGTGAACTTCTTACTGATTTTGGAGCAGATTTTGAAATTATGAATAATAATGTTAGACTTGTTATGTATATTATTTATATTTATTTAGGTTATTTGTTTAATTTTTTTATTTTTTTATGACTCCTACACCATGCTGATTCTCACCAGCTCATATTTTTCACATAATTTTAAAAAGAAAAAAAAAATCACATCTAACCTAATTTTACTCTGTACTATGTGTATTTTATTCATATAAAATAAATATATGTATTTCATTAACATAGAATATGTGTATTTCCATATTAAAATGCATTTAAAATTGAATAAATTCTTTATTTCATGTACTAAATGCATTTAGTGTTAACAATAGTTATATACATTTTCCAGAAATACAGCTAAATACAGTAATAAAATATATAATAAAATTTCTTTTATAGTTTTTTAATACTTTAATACTTAACTCCATCAATAAAGACTCATCGATTTAAAACTTAAGTTTGAAATTAAAAAATTAAGTTCAAATTAAGAAATGAAATTAAAGTTGTAATTAAAATATGTAACTAAAAATTATAATCTAATCAAGAATTTAGTTTTAAAATTTGACAGTTTTTAGATAAACTGTACCACGGTAAATAATCTACGACATAAGTGATGCCTTTGATGGAGTTGGGAATTTTTTACGATGGTTTGCAACTAGTTGAAGAATAAACTGTTTTTGTTCCTCGTCTTTTGTCAGTTTGTTATTGTATTTCTCAATAAGACTGATTCCCCTTTCAGCTACATCATTTACAACTGTCATGTGTTCAGCCAGTTCACAAAACTTCGTAAAGACTGGATCAGATGTCCACTGTTCTGGTGGTTTCTTAAAGAATGTTTGTGACTTTTCTTTCCCTTCTTCCATGAGGATATCAAAAATAGATGTCGTCTTTCCTGTCACCAGATCCTCCAATTTCAATTGTTCAGATTCACGTTTACACATTTACATTCAACTTTACACGTCGAGGGGTGTCTGCCAATGCTGGTCGATGTAGATTTAGTACCATCTTTTTTTTTGATTGATGCTGATACTCTGTCATCTAAAAGGACCATGCCAACCAGATGCTCAGAGAGAAACCAGAGGTACCTTGAAAATGTTTTATGTGCCTTACTGGCAACATTCTGGTTCGGATAGGTCTTCAGGTTTGATAAAAATTTGATGTCATTGAGAGGGGTTCTGATTCCAAATGGTGCTTCGTTCCACTGTTTGACATAAACAAGACTGACAAATTTCACAAACAGTCAACTTGAACTGAGTCTTAAAAAGAAAGATTTTCAGTGCGTAAATGGCTTTTGCCATCCATCGCGCATGATGTGTTGGACCAGGAGCTCAAAATTTGTCACTGCTTTTTTGTCCACCAAGAAACCAGAAGGATAAACGTAAAAATTCCTGATAATCATCCCTTGGCTGCTGTGTTTCAAAAGCTCTTGGTAAATAGACAAGCATTTCCTGTTGAATTTTCTTCAATTTTGGATCTTGAAACAGTTTGTCAGTTGCTATACAATAAACATGTTTGTCCATTGATGGCCATTGTTTCTGAAATCTTTTGAATAGTGCAGTTGATGGACCTTCAGCAAAGGGGTGAAATTTTAAAAGGATAACTTCCATTATATGATGACGGCATGCAATCCAGACTATTTCAGTTTCCAGAGCTTCTTGAATTCTAACACATGCGCCATTATGAAGTCCCGTATTGCTAGCTGTTGTGTCGAATACAAGGCCTTTGATCTGTGAACACAGATTCCATTTCTCAATTACTTCAATACATGCATTTGCTTGAGCCTCTTCTTTTCCTCTATTCATTTTTGGAATATATAACAGTTTTTCTTGGCCATTCCAATTAACAATAACAGCTATCCGATCTACATTTTCCTTCGATCCATCAATGTCGGGCAATATTTTGCTGTCCCAATGCAGCAATAGTGGTCCTGTCAAAGAAAATTCTTTTTCATCCATTGCAGCAGCTCATTGTCTTTCATTTATTCTGGATCGTCTGATTGAACTTAGAGACAATGTTATTTCTGAAATGTCATGTCCCAGTGCCTGTGCAACAGCTTTGGCAACAAACACAGCTCCATGGTCTGGGAGACAAATACGATCTAAAGCACCTACAACTTCAGGGGGACTGGATGATATTCTTAAATTTATTTGGTAATGATGAAGAACAAGCTGCTGAATCTCTTAATTTTGACATTGCAGGCGTACATGGCTGAGTTTCAGTCCGCTGATACTCCTCATCTTCTTCTGACTCCAAACTAGATGTCAACAACAAAAGTTCACCTTCTGTTTCACTAATGCCCTTGGCCATGCGTTCTTCATATCTCATTTTCACCTTTCTCTCTTTTTCCTCTCGTTGTCTTTCTTTTGCTGCTGTTTTTACATCAACTCCACTCATGCTGCAAGAAAAAACTTCTCTTTGCATGAGAAGGAGTTCCTGATCTTCTTCATTCTGTATTTCTGACATCATTTATCACAATATCAAACAATTTTTAAAGGTTACCTTTAAACATGTCTTCTTTCATCCTGTCGCTTTCTCGTTATCGTGTTTGGTGTACCTTCAGAGCCAGATAGTTCTGATGCAGCTTTGACAGTTTTCTGACACATGAGTTAATATGCTGTGTTAGTATCCTGGCTCGCATCCATATACAAATAACTGCATCACAAGACATTTTATAACTTTCTGGAAGGGTTCGTCCTTCAGTTAAATGATGAAACTGGAACAGTTGAAGTACATCCAGCATACTTGGTAATCTTGCTGTAGATAACTGAGAAATTAACTTTCCAATTAGCCAGTGCTCTAGTTTGATTCTCAAATTGGATGAAGTCATTTTATAGTTATGTTTTTTATTTAAAGAGTGAAAAAACATTCACGTTAAAATTCAGTAAAAAGTAAGTAAATTAATCATCACAGACGAACGGAAATCACAAGCGCAGACGCCCGATAAGTATTGTTGATAATGGGTTGACCTCTAAATGTTGCTCAATCAGCCTGAAGTTTTGCAGGCCAAATACCTATACCCAAAGGACAAAAACAAGCCATGTGGAGCAATGATTCTACAAATTAAACTTTTTGGTATGGTTTTGTGGACCACCCTAATATATATATATATATATATATATATATATATATATATATATATATATATATATATATATACATACATATATATATATATATATATATATATATATATATATATATATATATATATATATATATATACATATATATATATATATATATATATATATATATATATATATATATATATATATATATATATATATATATATATATATATATATATTAGGGTGGTCCACAAAACCATACCAAAAAGTTTAATTTGTAGAATCATTGCTCCACATGGCTTGTTTTTGTCCTTTGGGTATAGGTATTTGGCCTGCAAAATATATATATATTAAAGTAACATTACATGTCTTGAATTCATCATCATTGAAGCATCAGTGTTTATTTTTTCTCTGAATGAAGCCTGCTTTATTGTCTGGAATTTTCATGAACATACAAAAATTGGAAATAAATCAAGTTTTTCTTTATCAGTAATATCATGGCAAGGACATATAAAGTAATATTGAAAACATCTAATTTCTATAAAAGTTTGTTGGCATTGTTGTCATCAAAACCAATGCCATGGTAACCTCTTGAAAATATAATTTGAACAACAATAAAATTTTCTGGCATGAAGAAAAAAGGATCAATTAAATTCCTAACATTTTCATAGTATTCTCATAATCTCTCAAAGTTTTATTGTTGCTATTGGTTGCTAGTTTTATCATGCAAATTAATAGCTTTAATAATTATCTTTGATAAACCTCAACCAGAATTCACTGCAACTCTTACAACTATAAAACAAGATATTCTTTTCAGTGATTAAAACATGAATAAATTCATCAATTTTTATTAATATATATTTTTATATACTTTATTATATATTTTTTACATTAACTATTGATTTACTCACTATATCAACAACTCGTTTAATATGGCTTTTAAAGCTTCTATTTTTTCAAATATATTTCCTTCATTCCTACTTTAAAAGCCTAAATCTTTCAAAAAACTCATTTTTTAGTTTGACACTGATATAGTTCTATGCATTTTATAAGCTCCACTGTTGTTTCTATATATATATTTGGTTAAGACAACACAGTTTTTATTTGTCTGTAGTCTCATTTACATTAGTCAATGATTTACCAAGAAGTTGTAAATTTTTTATCTCGAAGGTATTTTCTATTTCCATTTTTGTTTTTATTGTGCTTGATGCAACACATTATTTGCTAATCCTAATGCATATGTTGCATTAATTTTTTTTCATTGTTTGAACATCCCTACAAAGGTAAATTAGGTCTGATTCATTCTTTTTTTGTTTTGTTTGATTCAACTCAAAAATTATATTAATATTTTTTGATATTTCTAAAACATCTGAAGTTCTAATAGTCTGACAATTATCTAAATAAATAAGTAGTTGAAATAAAATTTCAATGAAGTTATAAATTAAAAATGACTGTTCCACTCCATTATTCTATTTGTGTAAAGTTATATAAATGTAACTAATAAAATGTACTTTTAGGTGCTTATTGCACGAGAGAGGATGTTTATTAATTTTTGGAAAATTATCCTTTCTACCCCAAGCTTATTAACTTGGTTATTCTTTTATTCCCTGTAATTAATTTTTACTTGTTATCAACAAAAAACATCTCAAACCTGAAAAAAAAAAATCATATATATATATACACACACACACACACACACATACACACACACACACAAATGGTATAACAGGAAAAAAATTATAACATTTTACTTCCCATGTTGGAGAATTTTTTTCAAAACTGTTGGAGATTTTTTATTGAGATATTGCGGTTCTTTCTTTTTACAAAAAATGTGCTAAAAAGATGTTGGGATATCTCAAAAACAGGTTACATAGTGATAAAATCCTAGTATAAAAACAAAATGAAAATAAAATGTACTAAATACATTTTTGATAATCCTTCTGCTCATTGTGTATGTTAAATTATGTTCAATAGTATAGTTTTAAAAACCTTATATAGTCTTTCTTTCTTGTATCTTTTATTGAAATATTCAATAAAGTTTTTATTTTTAACCTTGTGTCTGTTTGTTTGTGTGGTTTTACTTTTTAATTCACACATTCTATATAATTATACTACAATTTTAAAAAATTACAATATAATTATATAGAATGTGTGAGTTCCCACATTCATATTTCACAAAACATATAAGCATTTTATTTTTATAAACATTTATGTATTTTTCATATAAATAAGTTGTTATATAACATATATATGTGTGTGTATATATATATATATATATATATATATATATATATATATATATATATATATATATATATATATATATATATATATATATATATACATACATACATAATATATATATATATATATATATATATATATATATATATATATATATATACATATATATACATACATACTTTTCTATAGGGTCAAACACCTTGTGACTTAGCAGACAAAGAGTTTCAAAAAACAGCTGAAGCTTGCAAAAAAAAGTCAGCTGATGCAGGACTTGCAAAAGTATTGAAATTTTTTTTAAAAATGTATTTAATTAGATTTATTATTTTAGATTTTAATTAAAATTTTATATCATTTTAAATTTTCGATTTCAGATTTTCTTAAGTCAGCTTAATGTTAGTTCAACCACACCATCTTTGTTGTCAATCATAATTACTTCATTATAGTTTAGAAATTATCATTCATTTATTTTGTCTAAACTTGCAAGTTTTTTCTTTATAGTATCATTAAAATGGGGTCATTGAAGTCATAATTCATTAAATGAATTTGTCAGTGAAGTTCAGTGAGGTCATTACAATTCATTTATTAAAACAAAAGTTTCTTCAAAGAAAAATTATAATTTATAAACCATGAAAACTACTTTGTTTTTAAAGTCGCATTACCCAAATAAAATTGCATTCTACTTTAAAAATAATTTTATAAAAATGAAAATTTTGTTAAAAATGAAAACAAGCTTATTTTTGCTATTTATTTTTTTTTTATTTTAGAAATCTAAAGGCACAAGGTATAACTGATTTTTTTTAAATTTAATGTCTTTCTTTTTTACATATGTATTTGTACTAAATGCAGTCTTTTCTATTATTTATACGCAAGTATACTTTTTCACAATTACAAATGTTTAAAGATTTTTAGTAACTAATTGGCATAATCAATTTTGCAATTAAAAATATTTAGAAGTTGCTTAAGACCCTTGAAAATTAGGCAGGTCCCTATTATTATTAACAACATATTTTTAAAGTCAAGTTGTCTAAAACAAGTTGGAAAATAACTTTTTTTAAAAAAACACCAATAAAAAAAGTTATTTTAAAAATACTGTGGAAAATTGTATTTTATTATTTTTTGTTAAAAAAGTTTTGATTTTTTCAATAAAAAATAATTTTTTTTGACAATATTGAGTCCTTTTTATTTGTTCAATGACAAAACAACTCTCAAATATCTTAAATAGCAATATAATAGCATTCTGCAGGGTCTTCGGTACATATAACTACTGAGGGTTTGACATACTATTCAGTTATGAAGAATTTTTATTATGGCCGACAGAAATTTCTTTTCTTTTGTTTTCATTCTTTTGTTATTCTTTTCTCTTTTTTTTATCTTTCTAGAAAAATTGCCTAAATTTAGCTTGAAATTTTAAAACATAAAGTATGCAAACTATATTAGGGCAATGCTGACCTAAAGAGTAAGTGTGTATATGAGTGCATATATATGTATGTGTGTGTATATATATAAGGGCCGTGTGAATCGCTTCGATTAGATTCGCGAATCAAGTGTTGCTTCCGTTCAAGATTTGTTTCAAAAAAAATGCTTCAATTTTTATCGAATCATTTATTTCCAGATATTTTCGATCCATTTTATAGATATTCAGTGCTATGGTACTATCAAAATAATTTTATTTATCCAAAACTACCTTTTAAGCAAATGCTAAAAGGCTAATCAGAGCAAGAATTATACCAAAAACAATTTGTTTGATTTTTATTGAAATGTGTGTTATAAAAAATGTTTAAACATGGATTTCCTCGATTTGTGATTCAATTCGATTTGCGAATCATCACCTGCATCGATTTGAGATTCAATTTAAAATTAAAAGTGTTGATTTGCAGGGCCCTAATATATATATATATATATATATATATATATATATATATATATATATATATATATATATATATATATATATATATATATATATATATATATATATATATATATATATATATATATATATATATATATATATATATATATATATATATATATATCTTATTCTGCTGAGTTAGGTGAGCACGATGACATCATACTGAAATAGCCTGCTGCGGGGGCTTCAATACTTACATCGACTGACAAACAGCCTGACTCGCAGTGGAGTGCTGCTACATCGACTGAGGGTTTGGTATGGGTCAGCAACCTTTTCATTCATTATTCTTTGTTTTCCCTTAATTTAGGCTAGCAAAAAAAGTGAGCAATTGCGCATATAAATATGCTATATATAGGCCTATTCTAGGGAAAAAATTTGGACGCCGGTATCCCCCCGTTCTGGCAAACTTTAGCGGAAAATAGGCGGTTTTTTCGCAAAAATAACGATATTTGTCGTAAAAATCGTATTAATAAAAAAAAAGGTCTTCAAAAAAGAGCCCAAATACAGTTGACGCTGTTGAAAGCGATCTAGAATAGCCCCTGATATATATATTTATACACACATACGCATATATATACATATATGTATATATATATATATATATATATATATATATATGTATATATATATATATATATATATATATATATATATATATATATATATATATATATATATATATATATATATATATATATATATATATATATGTGTGTGTGTATATATATGTATATATGTGTGTGTGTGTATATATATATACAAGGGTTGAATTAACGCATCGCGAATTGCGATATCTGTTAAATTATCTGGTCTTCAAAGTTTTAGTTTATGGAACATTTACGGAATAGGCGAATAAACTTTAATTTGTTAGTGAAAATGTTATGAAAAACAAAACAATAAATTTATGACTACAAAAGTAATAATACTACAGTGTTGTTACTTTTATAACACTCTTTTATGTTGCATTTATAGTCTATTGTTTGATCAAACAACACATAATCAAGATATTATAAATAAAAATGATTTAATTAAGTAATTCCAAACTTTAATTAAAGTAGTAATGCATCTTGAAAAAATACAATGGATATTTAAACAATGTTAAAACCTTAGCAACTTTTACGAATGCATATTTTTATAAACAGTTTAGCATTTCTAAACATCTTACTAACGGTCCGGAAAAAACGCGTGTTCACTTTAAAATCATCCAATGAAAACACTGATAATTTACTTCTTAGGAGAAATCTATATTAAAAGAGGAGGGGAGGGGAGGAGGCTATAAACTTAAATTTTGTTTTATTATTTAATCAATTAAATCATAATAAAAGTAAAGACAAAAAAATATATTTCTAAAAATATACTTCTTTATAACTAAAATTTATTAAATTGAACTCCTCTGTTTTTAGTTTTAAGTAAATGTCAGTACTACTCTCAGTGGCGAAACTGCAGAGGGAAGGGGGGTAGCAGACAAAAAGTGTCCTATTTTTATGCTAATTTTAGGTTGCATGGGCGATGTGGGGATTATTATTAAAATTGTGCGGAGGAGGGGGGGAATTTTGCTACTGACTACTCTAATGTGCTTAATACATAGGTAGGTGGGGGTGGGAATTTTAGTCAGGATATATAAAATGGGAGGAGTAAATAATAAAAAAAAGCGGGAGGATTTACAATGAAAGTTTTATTATTTATCGGTTACCAATATATTTTTTTTTTAATTTTAAGGCCAATTTTCACTGAATTTTTGTTTTGAGATATAGTTTTTTTTTTATAACAAGTGACTTGTTATAAACAAATAACACGATTTTCAAAATCAGCCCCATATCGCCCATGCAACCTAAAATTAAATTAAAATCAGGACACTTTTTGTCTGTTAACCAAAGCCCCCCCCCCCCCTCCCCCGCAGTTTCGCCACTGAGAGTAGTACTGACATTTACTTAAAACTAAAAACAGAGGTGTTCAATTTGATAAATTTTAGTTATAAAGAAGTATATTTAGAAATATATTTTTTTGTCTTTACTTTTATTATGATTTAATTGATTAAATAATAAAACAAAATTTAAGTTTATAGCCTCCCCCCCTCCCCTTTTAACATAGATTTCTCCTAAGAAGTAAATTACCAGTGTTTTTATTGGTTGATTTTAAAGTGAACGCGCGTTTTTTCCGGACCGTTAGTAAGATGTTTAAAAATGCTAAACTGTTTATAAAAATATGTATTCTTAAAAGTTGCTGAGGTTTATAACATTGTTTAAATATCGATTGTATTTTTTTTAGATGCATTACTACTTTAATTAAAGTTTGGAATTACTTAACTAAATCATTTTTATTTATAATATCTTGATTAGGTGTTGTTTGATCAAACAATAAACTATAAATGTAACATAAAAGAGTGTTATAAAAGTAACAACACTGTAGTATTATTACTTTTGTAGTCATAAATTTATTGTTTTGTTTTTCATAACATTTTCACTAACAAATTAAAGTTTATTTGCCTATTCCGTAAATTTCGTGGTTTTCCATAAACTGAAACTTTAAAGACCAGAAAATTTAACAGATATCGCAAATCGCGATGCGTTAATTCAACCCTTGATATATATATATATATATATATATATATATATATATATATATATATATATATATATATATATATATATATATATATATATATGTATATATATATATATATATATATATATATATATATATATATATATATATATATATATATATATATATAAATATATATATATATATATATATATATATATATATATATATATATATATATATATATATATATATATATATATATATATAAATATATACATATACTTGTAAATATATAAATGCATTTATTTATATATACATATGTATATATTTACAAATATATATATATATATATATATATTTTTATATATATATATATATATATATATATATATATTATATACATATATATTATATATATATATATTATATATATATATATATATATATTTGTAAATATATACATATGTATATATAAATAAATGCATTTATATATTTACAAGTATATGTATATATATATATATATATATATATATATATATATATTATATATATATATATATATACACACTTGTTTTAAATAAAAAAGTGCTTAATGCATTAGCTTAACGCAATATTTGGTGTCATAAAATTATCTTTTTTTTTATATAGACGTTAAGTGTTTTAACTACCGCAATAAATAAATAACCGCTAACTAGTTCAATATAACAATTAACTCAAATAACTATAAACGTTTTAAATGTAAATTTATTATGCAAAGTTTGTAATGTTTTCAATTGTTATTGTTATATTTTAATTATTTCTAAAATTTGTTTTTGAATAATTATTGTTTATAAATCGTTATTGAATAAAAAATAATAATGATTTTTTTTATTTTTAAAAATTTCTGGAGTAAACAAAAAATATTAACATTGATAAACAAAAACTCATGTTAATTATTTAAACAGCGATTTTGTTTAGACTAGCAAAGTATAATATAGGTTTTTAAATATTTTTTAAATTTATCCTGCTTAGCATTTTGAGTTGCGTTATATAAAAATATAAAAAAGTTTTGTCTGCTTTGAGCATATTTTTTATACATAGTTTAGAACACGTTCGCCAGAAATTTAATTCATAAATTTTTTATGTTATTGTAAAAATGTTTTACATTTTAAACAAATCACAAAGAAACAGAGCTATAGAGGAAAATCATTTTTAAATCTTATAAATCAAATCTTTTTTTTATAATTTTAGGAATTTAAAAAAAAATTAAATTAAATACAAAAGTCTTAATTATGCAAACTCTTTTGTTAATTATTCTTAAAACAAAAAAAAAATACTTCTACGCAAAACTTTAATCGTGCAAACTTAAAAAAATATTCAACTAAAATAATATAAGTATATTTAATAATTTGAATCGTATCTGTTTATAATAAACCTTCGTAAAAATTTGTTTATTAAAAATTAAGTTCCTTAACTTATAAACAAACTCAAAAGTATTTTCATTCTACATATAATTACAAAACTCTTTTTTTTTTTCGGTTTGTAAGCAATTTAACTTAATAAAATAGAAAAAGAATAAATATTAGATAATCTTTGTTAAGAATAAATTTAATTTAATTATTGAACTATATTTTTACTTTTATTTATATATAAACTTAAATAAAATATAGTAACATGTTAAAATATTTTAACATGACTTGTGTTTATTTATAAACCGTAGGGCAGCTGCCCTTACGGCACTATTGTTTTTGGATAATATTTTATTTTGATGAAGATCACATAACTTACATTTGATTTTAATAATGTACGTCTTCTCTTTTTCTGTGAACATCGCATCGGCAAAGTCCCAAGATTTAAAAGTTTTTAAAATCCTTTGTCCTTCACAATACAATCCATATTCGAACTTTAAACAATTTAGAGAGAATAAAAATATACAAGGTTTTTATATACTAGTTTGTCTTGTTTTATAAAGAAATGTTGCTAAATATTTGGATAAAATGTTTTGCGTAAAATTGTTATAAAAAGGTAAGATATATCGCGATGAAAAGTTATAACAATTATTTTTAACATAACTTCTTTTTGTAACAAATATCTTTACATATCGTTATTTAAAAATTAATGTGGTTTTTTTAAAAATTAATTTCTTCTTGTATGTTACCGCTAATTTAAAAGTTAAAAAATGATAAAAAGTAGCTTAACCAAAACAGCTCTACGTGTACGTATAAATCGCTTAAGGCGTACGTAAATCGCTCTAGGCGTAACGCTTTAAAACAAGGCCTATATATATATATATACATATATATATATATATATATATATATATATATATATATATATATATATATATATATATATATATATATATATATATATATATGTATGTATATAAATGAATAAAATAAACATTTTATAGTTATTCATTTTCGATTGAAAAAGAAATGTATGCCATTGAATTATTAAAGAAGGAAGCACCCCGTCCTGCAATAAAAGGGGGTCGTGTTCAACAGCAGACTTTAGAAACGAATAATAATACTAGTAACAATTGTGTTATTGACAATAAACAAAAAACAAAAGAAGTAAAAAATTTCGACTCTGAAAACTCAAACACATCAACATCTGGAAATGCATCAACAAATCGTGTTACAGTTAACTCTTTAGCAGATACTGTTTCTGTAAAACTTCCAAGAGGTACTTCAGTAACAGTTGAAAATGATTCAAGTAAAACTGATTCAAGTAAAACTGATAACTCAGTTTTGAACTCTTCCAATCGTAACAAATTACGAGAAGATTTACCACGAAGCTCTTTGTTGAAATCAGATCCTGTTGAAACTCCATCATCGCGATCAGTTCCTTTAAAAAATGACAAAGAAAATGCTGAAACATCCAATCGTTCGTTATCATCAAGAACAGATAAAGTTGAAAATGATTCAGCTGCCAGTCGTATTTCTTCATGGAGAAGTCAAAGAACTACTGAAAACAATGATGTCAAATCAACAAGTGAAAATAGTACAGATAAAAAATCAACACCATTGTCTCGTTATCAGCGAGAAGAAGTTCCATCAAGAAATCGTGCTGATAGAAGTGAAAAAGTGAGTTATAGTGAATATTTTACTAAGTTATTTTAATGGTTATTTTTGATAGATTTATACTTGATTATAGAAATATTGTATATATATATATATATATATATATATATATATATATATATATATATATATATATATATATATTCTTATAGTTTAGTCGAAAGATACTTTTATTTTAAAAAAAGTCTCTTTCGACTACAATATTGTTACATCGACAATCTAGCGACATTTTATTGTCGTCGAAATATCAAAGCATTTGAATTAATGTTAAAGAACAATAAATTTTATTGTTTTTTAAAAAAGCTGCAATAATAATGGCTAGAAAAATAAAAATAATAATAGCCTGACTCGCAATGGAGTGCTGCTACATCGACTGAGGGTTTGGTTAGGGCAGGCAGTCTATCATTTAATAAAAAAAAAAATTATTCAAGTTTTTAAACTATTTCTAGGCTTGTTTATTAGCGCTCTCTTTAAAACTACAGTTTATGGTAGAAAAATATATATATATACAGTTATATATTTATGGGTAAAACCACAAATGTCGGTTTAACCATCATTTTGCTATAACGGTTTAACCGTGGCTAATTCAAAAAATGTTTTAAAAATGCGCTAAATGAAAAAATATTCTAAAAAAGTGATATGAATTACGTCAAAACTTCTAAACAAATGTTTTTATATTAGCAAGACGATTTTAAATAAAGTAACAATTTACTGAAAATGTTTTTTATTTAATATAATTGACAGTTGTATATATTTTTTAAATTTATAACATAAATTGTTTAAGTGTTCATTTTTAAAAAAAACATTAAAAAATAAAAAATTGTTTTGTTTTTATAAACAATGACATTCTACGACTGGGAAAATCTTTTTAACCAATTTAAATATAAGAATAATTAAAGTTAATGCATTTCAAAAGATAAACAAAATTTTGTTTAAAAAAAAAAGTTTTAAAAAGCTGTTACAATTTAATAAGTTTGATCATAAATGTTTTTATATTATCGAAACGCTTTTTAATGAAGTAAAAAAACACTTCTAATTAATTAAAAAAAAAAAGTATTAATAAAATGTTTTTTTTTTAAAATATATATAATTATGTATTATTTTTTTATGAAAAATGTTTAACTTTTGAAACATTAATTAAATAAAAAATATATACAAATGTTGAAAACAAAGATTGAAATGGTTTTTTAATGCGTAAATTAAATAGACTAAGCATTTTAGTTTGAGTTTTGTTTTAGTTGCATTATATATATATATATATATATATATATATATATATATATATATATATATATATATATATATATATATATATATATATATATATATATATATATATATATATATGTATATATATATATATATTGTGTTTTTGCTTTAACTAAGTTGTTTTTTTTATTTTCTTTTTCATTAAGATTTTTTTTCTTTTTACAATTTTTTTTTTTAGGTAAGTTTTTGTAGCGCATTTTTAAATTTTAGAAATATGTTAAAAGCCATGGTCAAATCGTTAAAACATATTATTTTTTGCGTGGTCACATAAAGACGTGAAATCACACGCCTACCTGTGAAAGCCTGCATCTTTGATTTTTCTGTTGTAAGTTCATCAATTCATATACTTCACTATCTGATAACCTTTTAAGACACTAATTTTGTTAAATGTAAATGGTAAATATACTACCACAACTCAGTTGTATGTGATAGTATGTCAAAGTCAATCCCCACCCTACCTCCACTCCTCCTTTCCTTTCTCTTTTTCATAAAAAAATTCAAATCAAAAAACTTATAAAAGTGTTTTTAAATTTTATAAAAATTACTATTGCAACTTTATTTCTTTCCTACCGTCATTTATTTACATATTGTCTGTAATCACTTTGTATTGAGTTTTTATAAACCAGACAAACAAGCACATAAACAAAACATTAATAAAAATAAATATTTTTATTTTCGAATAGATTTTGTTTCTGCTAGAAACTTTTGATATGCAATGGCTATGTATCCAGCACATAAATTTCAAATCAATTTGATACGCTTTACATTTGAGGCAATAATAATTTAAAAATCATATAGCATAGAGCATACATCATCAGACCATATGTTGCCAACAGTTTTATCATAAAAAAATATACTTTTTGAGTTACAATGTACATATTGGTTAGGCATTTCAATGTTTTTTGGGAATTCAAGCAGATAACTTTACAATTAAGAGTGCTGATTTTAAATACATGCAGCTCTTTTCGTTTGATAAGTTGTTTCAGCTTTTCTCTGATAAAGCTGTAGTGATGCATTCAAAGCATTCTTATTTTGTAACATATTTTTAGCAGCATCAGAATCAAACAAATTTTTTGGTCTCTTTTTTACTTTGTTAGGTCACAAAATAAGCAAGCATTCTGTTTAGGATATCCAAATTACAAGGTACACCTAATGATTAAAAACAAAATAATTAAAATAACTTTAAATAAAATTTGGGTCATAATGAAAAAAACCTTAAATAAAAAACATGTCTTGTAGTGATGTACCAATGGCAAATTCCGATTGTGGATAATAATAGGTTTAATATATTTGTTTAAGGCTATTATAATAATATTAAGGATTTAAATTACATATTTAACCTGTACCTATTCATCAGAATAATCAGCAACCAATTAATCAATTAATTAACCATTGGCTAATTAATCAGTTGTCTAAGTTATAAATAACTTAGACAACCGTGTTTTTACACTGTAAACATTGAACAACAGTGGTTGTTTTAAAGTTGCCCTTGTAATGACCATAGAACCTTAAAACATTTTTTTTTTATGAATTTTTAAATTTAAATAGCTTAGTATAAAAATATCATAAAAATATCTAAAACTTATAATTTTCAAAAAAAAAAAAAAAAAAAAATATATATATATATATATATATATATATATATATATATATATATATATATATATATATATATATATATATATATATATATATATGTATATATAATTGGGAAAACTTGTATAACTAAGAAAATTTTAAATGTAATTAACTGCTGTATTGTTATGTTTTTAACATGATATACCCAAAAGATGTGTAAAGATAAATTCATGGAAACCATTTAATTATTAATTGTTTTATTTTAAATAATCATTAATCAATTTTTTTTTTTTTAATAGATTCTCAGGTAAAAACACATAACATATTTTGACTTAAGAAAAAATATTTTCAAGAACCTTTGTAATAAATTGATCTTAAAATAATGTTTTAAGGGTAAAATTATAAAGAAATTTATAATATTAAAATTTAAAAAGTTTTTTTGCTAGAAACAAAAGAACACAACGCATCATAATAGTATGACAATTAGATAAAGCATCATTTTAACATATTTTTCTTGTTTATTTATATTTTGTTTGTTAATATTTCTTTTGTCCATATTTGCTAATGCTTGGTTTTTTACTCAATGAATAAGCAATTGTTATTTTTTAGTTAATGAATATTAACAATAAAGTTAAAAGTATGTAACAGAGTTACATATTTAGTAAAAAGAATGTATTTAATTAAAAAACAAACATGTTATCTAAAAAAATTTTTGGTTGGAAAAACTGTTGAATCTAAGTAGTGAGTTTTTATAACACTTTATAGTTATTAGACTGTTAAAAATTAAAAATGTATAATATTTAAAAACAAATCTAATTTAATAATAGTTTTTAATATAAAATTTGAAAAAAATAATAAAAATAAAAAACATTTAGTAAATATCAGTTTAACATTTAATTTTTATATTAAAAATCTGCATACATTTCAATTCTTTTTATGTGTGTGTATGATAATGTAGGATTTGCTGTATAACAAGCTAAACCAAATATGAACAAACAACTCAATCATATTTGATTGACACTTTTTTTTTCTTTAGTATTTAAATATAAATTTTTGAAAATATTATAGAAAGTTTTTTTTACTATTTAAAAAAAGATTTTTTAATAATCTTTATTTAAAAGTTTTAACTATTTTCATTCAGTTCTTTGCGACTAGAAATTTATTATTTAGACGAAATTTAATAATAAAAAGTTTGCTTTTAAAAATTAATGATTAGTTGAAATTTAAAAAGTTCGCTTTTTATTATTTAATTCTAACCTTATTAATTTTTATTACATAAAAATAATAAAAATTTTAAATTTTATGTATGTCTAAACAGTTATCTTTACAATGGTATCAAAATCTTTTTAAATAAAAAAAAGGCTTTAAATTCAATTCTCTATCTTTTATATATAAATGTGTTTGCTTATTTTATAAATATATCACTTTTTTATTTATCTAGATAATAAAAATAATCTTTTTTTTTATGATTGAAAAGCAACTATCACAACTTCCTTCATTATTAATTAAACAATGAATAAAGGATGTTTAGATTGCTTATAGTTACATAATTATTAAACAGAATATAATTGTTGTAATTTTAGTAAAACGTATCAAATACAATTGCAAAGTAAGCTGGGTTTTATTATCAAATTTAATCTACAAGAATTATTCAAAACTAAAAATTAGTTAAAATAGTAATTATTAAATTATTTCTAAAATAATTTAAAATATTTTGATGTACTTTTTAACAGTGAAAGTTTGTTTTCATTTGCTTTACTGTTTGTGTTAGCAGCTTTTTTATTGTCGATAATGACGTACTTGTTTTATGAAAATATCACTGTTTCCTCTTTTCACAGTGAATGAATTTAACAAAGGTGAATGGTTTTTGTAAAGTAAAAAAAATCTGAGGTTTTTACTTATTATTCACAAAAACGTAAATCTCATTGAGTACAATTGAAGCTATATTTGAAATAATACTTTTTATGAAGCAAATGTGATAGTGTATTTCTACAACCTTTTTTTTTTTTTTAAAAAAAAAAGGAATTTATTTGGAGTAACTTGAAGCAATGGTACTTTAATAAAATTTCAAAAACATTTCCCCATGTTTTTTTTTCTGTTCAAATTATAAGTATGTCTTATTCATCGTACTCATCCATACAAGATCGTATCAAGAACCTTCGTAAAAGTAATAATGGAGTATTGATGCAATCATCTGTGAAAAAATATAACTGCACTCAGGTATGCAAATAAGTCAATTTAAATCTAGTATAAAAATAATATCAAATTTATACAGTTTCAAAATGTTTATTTTTAAAATATTTTCACGTTTAGTAGTCTTATGAAATATATTGTTAGTAGCGTAAAAACATATATCGTATAAGTTCATAAGTATGCAATATAGTCTGGTCTGTAATTTAAACGATTATATATTTATATTACTTAAAAATTCTTATTCATTTTGCTTTTTAAAGAATTGGCGCTTGAATTTTTTCTTTAAAATAATAGAATCAACATAGGAGTGCATCGAGATTTCCAATTTAGCAAATAAAGGAATTAAATTTCCTAATCGAAGGTAGTAAAGTAATATTGACACTTCTAAAAGCGTTTATTCTTGTTTATGTATGTAATAGACTTATGTTAAGTTGTCATGCCGTTCAATCTGTTTGGTTACAACTGAGAAGATTTTATTGTCTTTAAAATAATCGTTCTATTGTATTTAAAATAATGGACTAAGGCGCGGTATTGTTTAAAACATATTTTGATCGCTTTGCTGACAAAAATCAAATGTTTTGCTTAAATCAAATGATTTAAATATGCTGCAGAATAGATATCGTAGAAAACAAACGGTGAGTTCAGGCGAGAAATTTGTGGTTTAAGCAAACGTTTTAACATGTTTTTGTTTTGAAAAATGTTGTTTTTGCTTAAATGGTATAATGATACATTTTTGTATGATTTTTGTTTTTTGAAACTATTTCTGTTTTGCGAATTATGTCTAAAAGTTGTTTGGGCACATAGTTAAATTTTACATATCTACCCGAAACATTTATGCGTGATATTTTAAAGCCGCTAACACAAATTAAGTAAGTTATTCGATATTTGTTGATATCCATTAAAGTTGAAAAGTATTTTTTAAACATTTCTTATAACTGTAAGTTTTAAAATTGTGATTCATTTAAAACTCCTTGTGACGTCTTTTAAAATAAATTGTCCCACCCACACAGTAATCAAAACGTACTAATTCGTTAACCACATCTGATGCATGTGATTCTACTCGCTAGAACTGAAGAAAAAAGTTAATCGAACGTGTTGATAAAAGCGAACCACAATCGAATAGAGATGAAACCGATTTAAACCATGCGATTAAAATTAACTCTTTCAAAAACGATTGTTTTACCGATGTCCATAAAGATCAATTACTATTTGTTAGTAGCGAAGGATCATTTTTTGTTTTGTTTTCTTGAAATTTTAGAATGCTAGATAATCACATCGGGTTGTTACTACGTTTATCTTCAGCAAGGAACCATTATGGAGCCAATATGATATAATCCGGTATAGTTGGCTCCCTTTTATAGAGAAATAGCGCAAAATTATATGAAAAGTTTGATTTCTAGTAAAATGTTGAATCAGAACATCGTATAAAGTGAAACTTATTAAGGTATTAGGATAACAACATGATGTTTACGCTGTATTTAAAAACTCTTGCTGGGCAGATTTTTTTCAAATTAGACTATTGCGCAACATTTTTTATACATGCTGTTAAATTATTTTTTACTTTTCATTTTTCTTTGCTAATCACATGATTCTTTTTATTTTACATGTTGTAGGAAGATGAAGAAGAAGTTAAAAAGCCACCTGAAGACACCAGTGTTCGCAAAACTACAGTAAGCATTTATTTTTAATTTTTTTTTGTAAAAAATTATTTCAAAAGCGTTTAATTTCTTTCATCTTATTTTTAGGGAGTTGCGGAGCGTTTGCGTTTGAAAAATTATTTCAAAAGCGTTTAATTTTTTTCATCTTATTTTTAGGGAGTTGCGGAGCGTTTGCGTTTGAAAAATTATTTCAAAAGCGTTTAATTTCTTTCATCTTATTTTTAGGGAGTTGCGGAGCGTTTGCGTTTGAAAAATTATTTCAAAAGCGTTTAATTTCTTTCATCTTATTTTTAGGGAGTTGCGGAGCGATTGCGTTTGAAAAATTATTTCAAAAGCGTTTAATTTCTTTCATCTTATTTTTAGGGAGTTGCGGAGCGTTTGCGTTTGAAAAATCAAGAGCTGCTTTCGTCAATTGATCGCTCGACTGATAGGGTGACCGAAAGGACCACTGATAGAGTTACCGAAAGAACGACTACTGATCGACCTAGTTACAGTGATAGGACTTCTGTTTACTCACGTGATCAAAATAGCACTGTTTCTGTTAAGCCTAATAGTAAAATATCTTCTAGCGTGAGTGTAATTTTTGTTTTTTATAGCTGTTTACCTTAAAAATATTTTATAGCTTGTGTGTACCTTAAAATTTTTTTGTCACTGTAAATATATATTTATTATATTTTTAACTGTAAGTATACATTTATTATTTTTGTCACTGTAAGTATATATTTATTATATTTTTTATTGTAAGTATATATTTATTTTTAGGCTGATGTTAGTGACACTAAAGAAATTCAACGGAAGTTAGATCAAACTGAAAAAGAATTACAAGAGTACAAAGAAAAATATGAAAAATTAAAGAAGGAAAAAGAAGATCTTGAAAATAAATTAAGTCAATACCAAGAGGACTTAGAGGTTGTTTTAATTTAAAAGTATAAAGAAATAAAGCTATTTATAAAGATATAAAAAATATAAAAATATAAAGTTAATTAAAAATGTATAGCTGTCTTTTATATTGACCAGACAAATTAGTATCACTGGATAATTAAATTATTAACGTTGATTTTTTATTTTTTTTTTAGAAAATGCAAGAACTGAAGAACGATAATGTACGACTAAAGGACGAGAATGGAGCGCTGATACGCGTGATTAGTAAATTATCGCGAACTCCTGCATCTTCGTCTTGATTTTTAATTTGGTGTAAATTGGACTTTACCTGATTTAACATACTTTTTTAATCTGAAAAAAAAATCGTACTGTGAAGTTCGATCGGGCGCTGATATTTCGCTGCCTTGATGACCTTCTATGCACTTGTATTTAGCGCACGTGTTGGTCCTTTTCGCGATTGACGATTTTCCGCCCTTTCGAAACCGATCCAATTGCTAACAGGTGCAAGAACATTTCATACAACAGAACTTTCTGATTGTACCAATTATGGGTGTTGATCTTGTTTACGGACTAACATCTCCAAATTTTGTGCAATATTTTTTTTTTAATTTTGCTAAGATTGTACATATAATCTGAATAATAGCGCCCAAGGGAGTTTGCGCTCCTTGCAAGGTGTTATACGCTTTATAATCATGAAATATTAGTTATATTTTTCTACGAGCAGTCGTGATTTTGTGTTGTACTCGGTTTTAAATTAGACTTGTTTTAATGCTTTCATATTCGTCTAGTTTTTTTATTCACGTTAGTAGAAATTTTTTTGAATTTTTTTTTCTCAGTTCATTCTGTAATATTCATACTACCGTTTTTTTATTTCACTTTTCATTGTGACATTCCTTTTTTTAGTTTTTTTTTTTTTTTTTAATGTTGTGGCTGCAGCTTAATTGCAGTTTCTTTTCTGATAATATTTGGAAATGTTGGATTAGCACTTTTTCCTCCAAGAATCATTTTTTGAATTCTCATCTTTTGTATAATTGTAGGTAAAAAATATATTTGTCATGTTAAAATGTTTTAGGAAAGTTTCTTCGAAGAATCAAATGAAGTAGGAATAATATAACAAAAAAAATAACAACATTAAAAATAACTTGTCTTCCTGTATCGATATTTTTTTAAATTTTAATACTTTTCAGCAAATGAGTTTATATTACTTTTAGTGAAAACTGATCAAAGTGAAATGATCACTTTTTTGAGATATTTAAATTTAGTTGCTTTTAAATCAATGCCAATTAAAAGTTAATTTAATTTTGAATAAATTTCATTTGGTCATATATTGAAATAGCATACAAACAAACAGCAATGCATTGATTTTGCACTTCCATGAAAGCGATAGTAGAATTTCTCCCAGTATACGGTAAGTTATTAAAAATACCATTTTAAAAATTTCCTTGTTAACAAAGCAAAATGGTTTTTAAGAAGATAACAATATTATCGGTATAGCCCATTATCCTACCCCCTCCCTGTAGTTTTCTTACGCTTGCTAGGGACCTATGGTGCGTCAAAACGAAAACGGTAATTTCAGACGGCCATTGTTATGCAAGCAATTGGTAGTTTGTAAAAATATTTTAACGGCAATCTGGATAAAAAGTTTTTTTAATAGTGACTTTATATTTTACAAATACACAGCGTGGCGAAATGTTATAGAATATACAATTTAATAAAACAATTTAAGTCGGTTTTAATTATATTAAAACCGGAATGAATTGTTTTACGTCTTCGAAAGAGTTGTAGAGCAATTATTAGAGCTTTTTTTTTTTTAATGATTACTTTTGAGCAGCAACAGTTTCAACGGAACAAATAATTAGTTACGCTAAACAAGGTGACTAATTTTTTCAATAATGATTATTCTAAATATTAATACTCTAATGAATAGTGCGCATAGTTACGCTTATTGTTTTATAGTTACGTACGGTTCTGAATTTTGTAAAATACACTTTTTAAGTAATTTTTTGACTTTTCTTAACTGCGTGCTCTCTTAAAGAAGTCGCAACCTTTCATGGTACGAGTTCAAAATGTCTAAGCAGATAATGTTTAATCTAAGTAGATAGGTAATATAAAATCTTTTTAAAATTTTATAAGTAATTAATTTATTTTAATCTCTTTTAAATTGTACTTTTAAATTTAAAGCTTCGTGTTATAGATGTTAATATTGAAAATATAGATATTACTATGGTGTCTACCGTTAAAAGATACTTATGGGTAGTTTCATGCTTTCACATGCTTTTAATAATTGGAATAAAAGCCATGACAACATTTTTTTATAAATAAAATTTATCTATAGTATTGTTAATTCTTTGGCTCTTTGAAAAAAAATATGTTTCTGGCTTTTCAATAAATATATAATAATTTGTCTTGCATTAATGAATTTTGGTTTAGGATATAATTGTGTTATTATACGTTTGTTTTTCTGTACTTAATATAGCATTTATCATTTGCATACATTTTTATTTAAGTTTAATTGCTTATAATTTATTTAGATTATTAGAAAATTCATGTTTATAGAGTTGTTACTTAATCATTATCAAGTTGTTAAACCAAGGAAATTGTAGAGGTTTATTTATCAATTTATACTATAAATTATATAATAATATTGGAGGGAGTAAGTTAAAAAGCACTTTTAAATTTTAAAAAAGAAATAATACTTTTCAATATATATCTGTTTTTTTTTTTTTGAGGTAGATTTAAAGTTTCAGGTTTTCAAAACTGTAGATCTTTTCTATGTCTAAAGGTGAGTTTCCACTCATCCGTTTTTCTACGGGAAAGGGAAAGGGAACGGAAAAGTAATCACGTGAGCATGCGCAGTTTACTTTCGGGCAAATAAAAACTTTTGTTACCCATGCTCACGTGATTATTTTTTCCTTTCCTATCCCGTTCCCGTTGAAAAACGGATGAGTGGAAACTCGCCTTAAATAGACATTAAGTATTTCATTGTCTAAGTAGATATTAAGTATAAATTTAATAAGTAATTATTTGTTTAAATAAGTAATTAATTGTTTATAATTTATTAAGATTTAAATTATTAGAAAATTCATGTTTACAGAGTTGTTATTAATCATAATCGAGTTGTTGAACCAAAGAAATTGTAGAGGTTTATTTATCAAATATATACTATATATATTATATAAAAAATTTTGGTTTTCATATGTTTTCACTAAATAAATAGTTCTATATATATATATATTGAACTATTTATTCACTAATAAATAGTTCTATATATATATATATATATATATATATATATATATATATATATATATATATATATATATATATATAACTATATATATCCTTGGAGTTGCGGCAGCATAATAGTGTGTTAGGAGAAAAAAATTGTAAACCCGCGTTAATAACCTGTTTTCTATTGTACATAATGCATTAATAAGTTTTATTACGTGTTTTGTTCAATGTTTTCTCCCAACGCGTTAACAATGTCGTAATTTTTATTTTTTATTTTATTAGAAATAAAATAAATTTTAACTTATTTTAATAAGTTTTTGCTGATGTGGTTGCAGGTTTTTCTTAACTTCTATCAAATAAACTTAAGAAACCTGTATTACTTTTGATGATGGCAAATTAATTTTATTTTGCATTTGTTTGGTTTCTTTATATATATTTGTTTTGAGAATTTTTTTTTTTAATTTTTCGAGTATGATTTTTTCAGTCATTAATTTATTTTATTTTATTGTTAACTTTAGATTAGTAAAAAATAAGAAATAATTAGTGTTGCTTTGATAAATATGTTTAATGAAAATGATGACATTGAAATGGATGATAGGCTAGATGAAGTTATGTATTTACAAGATGATGTAAGTGCTATAAGGCGTGTTGAAAATAATCGTCGACGAAATGAAAGAAATAGACTAGATCGAGATAATGTTAATCGTCGCCAAAATGAAAGAAGAGCTGTTGGACAAGGACGAATGTATTCTATAGCGAGAAGTAATGCTATTCCAGATTATAATTATTTAGGAGAAATGAATCAAATTTGTCAGCACTGTGGTGCTAAGAAATTTCCAGATGAAACACATTTTCTATGTTGCCATAATGGTAAGGTAGCTTTGCCTCCACTTTCACCAATTACACAAGCTTTACAGGATTTGTTTACAGGGAGTTATGTAGATCGTAATGCTAATGCTAATTTTTTAAAACATATTCGAAATTATAATGCCTGCCTTTCTTTTGCTTTTTTTACAGCAAATGTAGTTCAACCAATGAATCATGGGCTTCCATGTTTTAAAATATGTGGCCAGATTTTTCATCGTGTAGGTAATCTTAGGCCAGATCAAGATATTCCACCAATATATTCTCAGCTATATATTTATGATCCACTTGCTGCACTAAATTTTAGAATGCAACAACGTGGTAATGATCTTTGTTTACGTGATTTAATGTTTCAATTGCAAACTATAATTATGGAACAAAGTCCATTTGCTCTTGCATTTAAAAACATGGCTGAAGTACAAGATGAAGAAATTCGTAAGGCGGCTATAGAAGGTCGCTCAGCTTTTGTTGTAAAAATGTCTTTACTTGAAGGCGGTGATAGACGTCGTTATAATCTACCTTCACATGATGAAGTTGCAGTTGTATTTGTTGGCGAAGATGGTGCTCCCCCAACTCCAGGAAAGTTGTTGTTTACCCAAAAGGTCATCCTTTAAAAATTGTATCAAGTATGTCAGCCAACTTGGATTCTATGGTTTATCCGCTATTTTTCCCAAGAGGTGATGCTGGTTGGCATAATCAGTTGGTGCATAACCCTGAGCGTGCCACACTGGTTAGAAATCATGTTACATTATCTCAGTTCTACAATTATAGACTTTCTTTTTTCTGGCAATTTTTCTGTTCATTATTTTATGGCAAGAAACTATTTCAGCAATATGCTGTAGATGCATATGTAAAAATTGAAGGCCACCGTCTTGCTTTTATTAGAAATAATCAAAATAAGCTGAGAAGCGAGCAGTATGATGTCTTACATGAACATATTAACAACATTGTCAATGATCGTAATATTAGACCAGGACGAGTAGTAGTTTTGCCATCATCTTATGTAGAAAGCTCTCCTAGAGCTTTAAAAGAAAACTTTGAAGATTCTATAGCAATTATTAAAAAGTATGGTAAACCAGATCTTTTTATTACTTTTACTTGCAACCCAAAATAGCGTGAAATAACAGAAAATTTATATCCGGGTCAGAATGCGAATGATAGACCTGATTTGGTTACTCGAGTATTTAAACTCAAGTTAAATAACCTCCTCAATGATATATTTAAACATGGTGTATTAGGCAAAGTTGTAACGCATGTTTAGGTTATTGAGTTTCAAAAGCGTGGTTTGCCGTATGCCCACATTTTACTTCATTTAGCAAATGATGATAAACTTGAAACAACAAATGATGATAAACTTGAAATTTTTACTAATTTTACTTATTATATATATATATATATATATATATATATATATATATATATATATATATATATATATATATATATATATATATATATATATATATATATATATATATATATATATATATATATATATATATATATATATATATAAATTTTATACAATTATATAAAAATAGCTATTACATCTATTATGTTTATCAGATTCATCAAAAATAAAGCGTTCAAATTGTGGTAATGATAATCCAGATAAAGGTTTC